AAAAAAATGTTAGAAAACAGACATGCTCATATAGAAAAATTTGTATGAAACAAGTGACACCTTTACCTTTATCTGAAACAAGCATCTATTGCAAAGTTATTAGTCATTTCCTGGTAAAATTTCTCGTTTTGAGTGTATGCATTTTGAAGACATACATTACAATCCGGATTCTGGAATAATAACTTTTATGCCAATTCAAAACAAAACAAATTGTCGAAGGTGCCAAGATTTTTATGACTTTTCCTGGAATGCATTGTTTTAAAAGTCAGCAAACGTCTACAGCATGCAGACTCATTAGTGATTTAAAAAAAAAATCTTTGAGACGGAGACGAAATTATGTTTCATGATAAAAGGATAAATCAGTAACACACTTTTAAGCATACCCGAAACGTTCAGGTACATCTGATAACAAAAAGAATTTATTACATTTTGAAGTGCGCTTCGTTCAGAACTATTTCTTTTTTCAATTTGCTTATAACTACAAACATTTTGAGCAGACCTCAGTTTCATTTCAGTTCGACTTCTTGTCCATTCAAGAGCTCTTCTAAAATTATTGATTTTTTTTTTTTCAACAGTTTTCCTTTCTGTGATTTCTTGAAACATTTTTATTGATAAAATATATTTTTCGAGCGAAAAAAATATAATTATTATTGAAAAATTAAAATTGCATTGAAAAAAGAGCCAGTCACTTTGTTTGAAAAAAAAAAAAAAAATGAATATACTCGGGGTAAAGAGTGAATCGACACGTGAAGGATACACAAAATTGAAGAATAAAGACCATTTGTCTCCCGTCAATGAGGAAAAAATCAAGAAAGCCACTGATTTTAATACTATATTTGACGTAAAAATGGATGAACTACGTGAAGCGCATATGATGCAACTTACCGAAATCCGGTATGAAATTTACAAAAAACAAGGTGCCATTGATGAACTTGAAGAGTATGTTCTGCCATTGATTACAATCCAACCAAAACATATTATAAATTTATCTCAATTTTTAGTTTCAACGAAAAACTCACACTTGCTCATCGTCGTCTCAACAATGATCATGAAAACCTGCAGCAAATATACGATGAGCAATGTACCAAACTACAAGAGTAAGTATAGAACATTGAACGTCAAGTCTCGATAATTTGAATCTATCGGTTATTCGAACGAATTAATTGAAGTACATTGAATGTTTTCATCGTTTTCCATAACGATCAATATAGATATCATATCATTTTCGAGCGCTTTCATGCTCCACGATATGATGGATACAACTCATAACACCGACGAACAATACAAATCATACACACACAGTCAGGCTGCTACGTATGTTGTCGCTTTCATATGTGCGCACATCATATATTTCTTCCATTTAAAACTCTATATTTGATCGTAATTGAAGCATTTGAGCGCGAAAAAAAAGTAATAACACAAAAAAGAAGACTCTTTTGCTTTTTCTTCTCCCTCTGCAAGTAAACCGTAAGACAAAATAACAAACATTCATCGGATCAACGAAGCATATACATTCAATCGCAGCAATGATACAAATTGCATACAAAGTGCAGAAAAGTGCTCAATTTTTTTTTTCATTTTTGAATTTTTTGAAACACTTTTACGGAAGTTACTTTGGTTTTGAAATAAATTCATCATTTATGAATTATTTTTTTACAAACGTCTCAGTTCAAGAAATGAAATGAGAAAAAATTACCAAATTTGTTCAAAAGATTATTGCATTCGTTGCAATTTTCAAATTGGAGTTGATGTAACGCCATCTGTCGAACGTAAAATCGAATTTTGGCTTAGATTTTTACCAAATGTGTAATTCACCATTTGTTTGTGTTGCCACCTGTCGTCAATATAACAAATTATTCATTTGTGTTCGATTATTTGGACTAAAAAATTAATTCGCACATTTGTCGAAATTGACGAATAAAAATCTTTAAAAAATATGGAACCACCTCACTATTTTGATTCATCTTTTAGTTTCATTATTTCATATCAAGTCTATTTCACCATGTCTTCGCCAAAATCGTCAGCAAACGTCAGTCATCCGATGTGTCAAAACAGTTCAAGCACGTTGTACGTTCAAAAAAACTATATTGTGAACGTAATTCAGTGTTTTAAAAATATGTCCACTATTGAATCAAAAGAAAAGACCGTAGTAGGAGTATCTTCATCGAAACAAGATATAAACGATATCTTCGACGATATTGCATTGTATGAAGATCGAATAAGCGAAGAAGGTTATCAAAAAGGTTTGGAAGCGGGCAAATCAATTGGAAACACCGACGGTTATCATTTGGGCTATCATCGCGGTGCCGAACTGGGAGCTGAACTTGGCTACTATTATGGTGTATTGCAGTCGCATTTAAACAGTGAACGGAATACAGAACGTCAACAAAAGTCTATCGACGCCGTTCTAAAATTAATCGCCGATTTTCCGCGCACAAATCACGAA